ATTAGCACTGCAACGTCGTCCCAAAATCACTTGTATTCCAGATACATCGGATCGCTATTTATACATACAGAATATAGAGTCGCACAGTACAATTAATTTAATACAATAAACGTTCGGAACCGCAAGAAAACTTCTACACTCGGTCAGATACCATTTAATTTGAATCTACATGTCCTTATTTGGTCCATAATGGTTCCAAGATTCAAGTATACCTCCAAACATAGGTAGGTACTTCGATATTCATTTAATTTAATTGTTTTTAGAGAATGACTCAAATGGTGTTCAACTGTCGTTGCTGTTCAACACTTACTTTGATCGTTTGTCACCTCGTCCGGAGGCAAATCAGCTCTCCTTGATTCTAATCCTATCAATCTGATTCATCTGGATTAAACTAATTGCTTCTCTCTTTCAATAGACACCCATTGTGCCTATACTCTATCAAGGGAGTTGCGCATAGTATTCATTCAATTGCATTCTTCAATATTTTCTATGTCAGGACTCTTTGACATTCATTTGATATGTCTTCGGAGCCTCGCAGTACTTCGATCATTCTTCTAGTCATTTTCCTCAACCATGCAACTTGATTGGTCTATTAGACTAAATCGCAGTCTTTTAGATTAATGCATGATCTCGTTCTAGAAGGAGTATTTGATAATTCCTGAGTTCTAGAAAGTCATTTCGAGTCAATCCTCGGCTCATGGTCACTTGAGTAAGTTCTTCCACACTCCTGCCAGTGTAAGGTCCAATAAGAATACCCTTGGTATGTCATACATGAATGGTGTCATCCTTCGGATGTAGTCCGAGTCTGGTATAATCCTGCTTGACAAACAGGTAGACTGTTATCCGAAGGTAGTATCGGGGATGGGTAAACTAACCAACTTGTGATAGTATGGGTATATGGTCCCTTCAACTTATTAGACTGATTCAGTATTGACTTTGACTGTCAATCTGGGTCTCAATTACAGTCCTCTCGATACAAATCTATATGTGAAAATGTCACAATTCACAGTATAGACGTCTAGCCAAAATTTAGGCGTGTCAGCGGATATCTGCTGGCGTCGGCCTCGGTCTGGTCCGAGTCCCATGAACTTGTCTTGGCAGACTGTTTCCAGATGTCCTCGGCGTCCACAGTAACGGCAGGTGGTTTCTCGGTGTGGGCAGTTTTGTTTGACATGACCTTGGGCGCCACAGCCAAAGCATCGTCCTCGCATGCGAGCTAGGAATGCCTCCCTAGTATTCCCATTACTAGTGTGGGTTGCATCAATGTCCATAGCATGGGGGTCAGCAGGGGTAGTGTGAGCGGTATGTGTGGGAGCGTGTCCAGAGTTTTGGCCAGTCATGGTGGGGTCGTGCATGTAGACGTCCACTGATATGGCTCGTTTGATTGCCTCCTTCAGAGTCGGAGCAAGTCCTTGGGCGATGTTTACAATGATGAGATTTTGTCGGATCTCCGGAAGTAGGGCAGTGAAGAAGCGTTCCCGTAAATCAATGTCAGACATTCCAGTCCGATCCCCAATATCCTTGAACTTCTGAGCGAATTCTGTGACTGTCTGGCCTTTACCTTGCTTGAGATTTTTGATCTCGCTGCGAGCTTCCATACCCGGGTCTACTGACTCAAAGCGTTGAACAAACTCTTTCAGGAACTCTTCCCAATCTCCTCCAAAGGGGGGATGTTCCGCATTGAAATGTAGCAAATGCGGGGTTGCCCAGTCACCTGCACTTTCAGTAAAGAACCCTAGGGCTGACTTGATAAGCTTTGCCTGACTCTTGGTGAGATCAGGTTGTTCCGATGCCCAGTTCTGGAACTGAGCCATGAAGCGATGCGCCTCAGTGCTATCTTTTCCCTTGAATACCTCGGGTTTGTTCATGCTAGACTTGGAGGATGAGCGTTCCTCCATGGCTGTAGCAAGATTGGCTACTTGTTTAATGAGCTGAGTCATGAGATCTTCTGCAGAGGCGGGTGGAGCTGGTGTGGCAGGCAGAATAGGAGTCGACATGATAGGAGTAGGCAATCAGAGTTGGGGAATTGGCAAGAAGGTGATATTTTCTACGGTAGTTGGGTCCTGAACTGAATTGGAGAGTGCATGGGGCAAGGCTGAGAGTCACAGTCGTACCAGCTATCACCGATATTGTGGGTGTGGTGCTGATCTCTGGGGTCAAGTGCATGTTGGAGAGCGGAGCAATCGGTTGTAGCAGTATGATCAGAAAGATCTACGGGTGTAGAAGACGTGATGTATGCGGATCCTGCAAGAACAACCTTATTGGTAGGCTGTCAGTGCAGTAATGGATCTTGACCTAATGTCATGAAGCGGCAGAGGCGGAGTGACTAGCGGAGCAGGAAAGCGGAATGACTAAGCAAGGAGATGAGGCGGAGCGACTAAGCGGAGCAGAGGCAAACTGGTCCCAGATAATGACAGAGAGGTCAAGATAAGGGACCAGGTTGTGAGGGATTGGCTTTATATACATAATCCAATCTGCGAGAAATGACGATGTAATACTGTACAGTTTAGGAACAAGGAAGGTGGCGGAAGCCAGTAGAAGGAGAAGGGTAACAGGTGGATCAGTAATCGATGATGGGGGTCAGGTGGATCAGTAATTGATGGGATTTGACAGTGATGTAATCGTACAAGTAAGGGCGTCGAGATGGTGAGAAAAGGAAAATGATAGGGGCTACGTACTTCATGACAGGTCATGGGTAGACTGGTATGGGTCTGTGGTCTGTGATGTGGAATTGTTGGCACAGCTTGCCGGGCTAGATACGATAGATTGGATGGAAAATTATTTGTTAGTACCGACTCTGTTCAGTATTGACAGTGTGGTCGAAGTTATGACATTTAGTTCAAATTATATGAGACCCAAGATTCTACCATTTGACCACATTTATCCATCTCCAGATAGTGTAATGTCCATATGTCCAAATCGCAACACATTTGCTGCAGTCAATTTCATGTAAAGCATGGTCTTGGCCGGCACATTGAGCGAGAACAATGGCGCGCAGAGGGGGAAGGCAGAATGCAAAGGATTGAGTTCGTGTAAAGCATGGTCTCGGCCGGCACATCGAGCATGAATGATGTCACATAGAAGGGGATTGCTGAATGGGAAGGATCGTGTGGTATAACGATGGCGCATCGAAGGGGTTTGCAGAATGGGAAGGATCGTGTGGTATACCATTTCAAACTTAGTATGTAACACATGCAACTGTCATTTGAGAAAATACTGTCATATTGCATGCACCCCTAATATATTAGCTTTTCCTGTGATGGAAGACCACATCTCAAGATTGATACAATTGTGCATTTACAATGCAATAATGAAATTATTTTATACACCCTCAGTGGTGTAATTTATTATATTCCCATGAAGGAACATTTCATATCTCGAATTGTAGGTAAAGACAATATCATTCATATATATGACGGTATGGTCAATAATGGAGTACCACTGCAAGAAGCTTCTGATTTCTCAGATCTCAACTGGAACCAGTGCCAGTCAGGTTCTGCTTCTGCTGCAATTTACTCCAAAGCTAACCACTAAACATGTGATATTTCTTGCTATTTTCCCCCAATTACTCAGATCTGACTTTTTCATTGAATGTACAAAAAAACCAACAGCCGAGTTCTGCCATGCACTGCCGTGCAGTGGCCTACAATCGCATGTTATTCCTATCTCTTGATCCTCACTTTCTTTTACCCAAATGTACTGTGTAAAAATGCATCAAGTATTCATGCAACATTGCATGTACCCTTCAGTCGACCAATTCGAAACAAAGTTGTACATAGACGCGTAGTTATCCTTAGATAAGAGTCGCGATAGCTCTCTGGTGCGTTACGATGGGCCTCGTGGTTTCATATATTACGAGGCTGTAGTTTACGGAAGTATCGTCCTTATGTATGGTACTCCATACAAAAATTATTTCCCTTTATGGCAGTAGTTTCGCCTTATTTGGCCAAATGTAACACTGAGTTGAATTGTATTGAATTCTTGTGACCGGCACGGGATATCACGGGACTGTGACTCTGTCACAATTATTTTTTCTCGTCTCACAGCATCTCACTCAGTTACTCCCTGTTACTCTATAGATACTGTAATTCATGTATTTATTTCATTCTTGAAAAACATTCAATGTCGGCGCCTGTAAGGCGCCCCGTTTATTTGATTCCATAATATTTAATAGCCCCCAAAAAAGGAGCCGAGTTTTTGCCATGCACGGTGGTGCAGTGGCCTGCAATCGCATGTCACTCACTGTCCTGAATCCTTCATTTATGGAATTCCCGTTTTAGGCGTGATTGTTGCGAATCTGCCAGGAACTAGATACCTCTTAATTCGAAGCGCTTCATTTGGAAATTGAACGACCTTTTCGATCTCCACATAGCCGCCGAAATATCAGTCTTGAAGACACAAAACATTTGAGGGCTATCGTCAATTGGAAGATTTTACATACGTATGAAAACTGGAGCTATTATTGGGTTTTACGGCTTTCATAAGTTTTCCAGGTTTCACGAATTTCATCAAACCAGGAGGCAGTCAGAAAGGATGTGTTGTATCGTCGTTGACTCCATTCTGCATTAACAATTCGCTGGTTCATCGTTTGATCTTAGGTTCCGTTCCCGCTTATCGTGTTTCGTCATCGTACCTACAGGTCTGAATCGCATCGTGTTGTGCTATTGTCTTTTCACTGGCTCTCATGGCCAGGCCAGTGGATCCGCTGGCCCCCGCAACAATTACGACTTCGAACAACTTGTGTCCCGGTAATTGAAACAATCACAATAACTTCGAGTCTCCGCTCTGGTGGGGCCCCGGTGCTTGGTTGCTTTAATCTCATTATCACCTTAATCTGGGTATCGTTATAATGATCAGCTTGTTGGGCTGTCCTCAACTTTTCCTCCCCGGCTCGTTCTTCCTTCTCTTCACTCTTTGAACCCGAACGCACTATTTGACGACTCGGAGTTCGAGGAATTCTGATTTCATCGTCCTCAGTTTGTTATCATCCACCGACTATCATGCTGAACACCACTCCACTAAGCAGCACCATTGATACTACTAGTACCACTTGTACCGCGCTAATCCTGCTCCCTTCTCGGCAGCGCCCCGCACGCACACGGTCTCTCCCCGCCCGGATCAACCTCCCATCCCAAGCTCTCGCGAGTATATCTGAAGAACATAGCGATGGCCATAATCATAATCATAATGATAAGCAAGGTGTAGCTGAACTCCGTAGCCGGATTCAACGTCCCGGCGCAAAGAAGTCTGAGTATCTTGAGTCACCCAATCCCGAACCCCAGTTCAAATCGAAGTCAACGTCTGGGCCATTTCTTGGCGCTGATTCTGACACCACCACTACCATTGCCACTGGTACTGTCCAACCAAGGCTCTTGTTACAGTGGTCCAAATCAGACCCGAGTCCATTGACTAGGAATCAGCTTGGTGATAATACAAGCGCGAGCTCGAATCCGAAGAATAAAGCGAAGTTGAGAATCCGGACAAGAACAAGCTCCTCCTCGCTGTCGTCAAGGTTCAATTTCGATCGAGATTGTGGGATTTGGTAAGTCTATCTTTGTAGTCTCGTGTTATTCGCTAAACATTGAATATTGAATCACTGATTTTCTACGCTTACAGCTTCGACCCCGCCGTCCGACCATCCCGAACGAAATGTTGCGGGAAGGTGTTTTGTGAGGAGCATTTACATGACGTACGTTCATGTCTTCCACAATCCTCCGTCCTCTCACAAACCATCTATTTACAGTGGCTTCACGGATCTTCGAACCGCTGCCCGGCCTGTGCGTCAGAATGTCATCCACAAACCGGCACAATCTCGCTCGCGCCTCCTATGACACCGACTATACACAATGTTCCGATGGGTCTTGTATCTACTCATGCTCTTGCTCGTACTCCTCGTACTCCGCCTACTCCCCCGCACTCCGCCTTCTCCTCCTACTCCACGTTCCCCGCCCTCTCTCCTTCACAACCTCTTCCCGTCTATGCACCCGCACCAATCCGACCATCATTGACATATTTCGCCAATCTTACCAACCTCAAGAGTTCCATCAGCACAACAGTGATTCCCTTGATCCCGCCTTGGATTCCACTTCCGATTCTGATTGTGGCTCGAGATTGCTCATACATAGACCTTCAGTAGATAGACCTCCTGAAACTAGTAGTGGTCCGAGCCCTGACAGCCCTCGCTCCGCCACGCTCCTCCTAATGCTCAACGCCGTCAGCCAATCCCTCACTCAGAAAATCGCTCGGGGGCTTGCGAGGCGTGATACAAACCAGGATTTTGGGTATGACTCCGCAACGCCCCATACGGAGGGGGATTACCTCCGGCTCTGAGTCGTTCAGGTTCCCCTGAGTCGTCTCTCCTCTCCCAGTTCTCCCAGGAGCCCGTCTTCGTATTTTAACTTTGACTTTTGTCCTGATCCGGCTCACCCTTCGGACCTCCCCACGCGTTCCGAATCCCCTTTCCCTTATTCCCACCAACTCGACTCGGTGGGTTGTCGTGTATCGAGCATGAGAGAATGGGTGATCAAGATGCACTGGTTCGGGGCTTGTCGGACCTAGGAAGCAAGATGCTTGCGCGGGTACTGAGTATGGTTGGGATGGTATTGGTTTTGTCTGTGTTTTTCGTGGGAGGACAGAATCGGGTTCGCTTGGAGGGTTCGATTTGGATGGGCTTGATGGGCTTGATTGAAGTCTGAGGATGCCATGGTATAGCCTGCTACGGCCAGGCTTGACTGGTTGACGTTAACGGCAAAGTGATATTCTTTTTCTTTTGTCCCGATAATTTGTTCGTTCTTTGTGCATACAGTATAATTCGTTTTCGTTCCTTCATATTCGTTAATACTTGTTCCGCCACTCCACTGGCATACTAGTATTCAAGTTTCCTGTATGTAGCAGGCTTGGAAGGTCTAAATTCTTTCTTTTGTATGTTGTAATGTAATGTAAATAGTCCCCTTGATATATTATTGCTGTAAATTATCTTGATCTCATGTTGTACTATTGTCTTGATCAACCGGATTGGTACAACGCAGGACTAGCAACAATTAATCCACGAAAGCAGCAAAGTCTTACGTAATGATGTACGTACGAGTTTCGACGCTCGTCGAGCTGCGCGGAATTCTCGTAGTTTCGAAAGTTACTCCATGTCCATGATCATATACTTTCAAATCGATGCAGCTCAAACCAAGATTCCGAATGCATATTCGAGAGTTAGCTGCGAAAATACGCCCAAGATCTCCCACTAACCTCCGTGAACGGAACACCCCCGTGTGCGCAGACTTGAACTTAATTTCAAAAGTCCCAAGTCTCGAAGATATTGAGAGATGCAGGTAAAGGAGGAGGCAGGGAAGGTGCAAAAGAGTAACTGCTAAGATGATATCTCACGCGTCTACAGCGTTGAAATCCTGGTGAGCTCGAAAATGATTTTATCTGGTTTATTAGCCAGCTCTCATGTCAACCGTCACTATCGCGCCCCGCCGAATATTGCATCGATTCGTGACATTCATTTGACAGTGAACAACTCCACCCGCCTTCCGCAGTCTTATCCCGGATCTCGCCTTGAGCCTGCCCCGCATTCTAATTCCGTATCCTCG